CGACTTTGATAAAGTAGAAGCGCTGCTACGTGTCCTCCAAAACCTGCATCGGAAGGATAGTGGGTCACTCTTGCCACACAGCCGCACTGCTCAACTAGCTACACAATGCGGGAAATTATTCTCAATGTGTCAGAGATCTTCGCAGTGCTGGCCAGTTTGAACCCTTATAAATCAGTTGGTCCTGGTAGCGTACATCCCGCCATAGTTAAGCCTCGGGCTGATAGCCTTCAGTATACCGTAGCGGAGCTATTCAACCCGTCTCTTCAAGAAGGCAAGCTGCCACGTAATTGGAAGGAAGCGAATATTCTTGCCATCCACAAAGTGGGTTCTAAGTAGGTGCCTCTTAACTATATGCCGGTAAGTTTGACCAGCATCATGCTGAAATGCTTGGAAAAGCTTATAATTAACAGGATCTGTGAGCACTTGACTGAGCACAATCTAATTAGAGCGGAACAGCATGGCTTTCTTAAAAAGGCGTCTTTTCTTACCAATTTATTGTGTTTTTAGCCGAGATTACTCGTTGTCTTGATAGTGGGATATCGGTAGAGGTGTGCCATTTGGATTTCAGTAAAGCCTTTGACTCAGTGAAACATCGCTTTTTAACTGAGAAGCTGACAGGGTCTGGATTTTATCCTCAACTATTATTATGACTCTCTGAATTCTTACCTGGAAGGACATGCAGTCAGGGTTGGGGAAGCGAGTTCTACTACGGGTCATGCTTACAGCGGTGTCCCCCAAGGTTCGGTACTGGGTCCATTGTTGTTTCTTATGCCTATAAATGACCTGGCTCCTCTTCTTGAAGACCCTTGCTATATCTTCTCAGCTAACTTAAAGCTAGTCAGTAGTGGAAAGCGAGCGACATTGGCTAAGGACATAATCAATGTGGTGAATTGGTCGAGCCAATAGGATCTACCTCTGAATGCAGATAAATGTCAACTATTAACCGGTAGTGGTAGCTGAATTACCGTGCAGTCTCCCGTGGGATCTATATCTTTGTAGTGTACTGACGAAGCCCGTGATTTAGGTGTCATCGTAACGAACAATTTTAAGCCTTCGGCACAGTGTCGCTATGCTGCCACTAAAACGCGACACGAGTTATTTCATCTTAGGAGGGCGCCATGTAACACTAAAGCAGAAGTATTCTTGCCTTTATATCAAGCAGTGGTTAGGCCACATCTGGAGTAGTGTTCAAAACAAACGTTCGAAAACCATTCGCAGGTGGGATAAATGCTCGTTGAGTGCGACACTTGAGATCAAAACATCGTCAATGCAAACATAGATGAAAGCAAGGCCACGGAGGACCTGATCCATAAAGCGTTGGAAAGACTGTGTTGCGTTCCGGAGGCCGAAAGGCATACGAAGAAATTCGTAAAGGTCAAATAGAATGATCACAGCGGTTTTTGCGATGTCTTCCTCCGCCATTGGAATCTGGTGGTAAGCTCTGACTAGGTCGAGTTTGGTAAAGATCGACTTTCCGGCTAGTCCAAGTGAGAAATCGTGGTTATGGGGGATAGGATACCTATCCGGAACAGTGACATTGTTGAGAGCACGATAGTCACCGCATGGTCGCCAATCGCCTGACTTTTTGACATCAGACGGACAGGTGATGCCCAGCAGCCGTTTGAAGGACGAACAATGCCGAGATCAATCATGTGTTGGAATTCCTTTTTAGCTGCCTGAAGTTTGTCAGGGCTCAAGAGTCGAGCTTTAGCAGTTACTGGCGGACCGCTTGTAACGATGTGATGGCGTACATTGTGTTAAGGGTGGGAAGCATCGTTACTCGCCCGAATGAGGGACGGGAATTGTCAGAGCAATGAGCAATACTGTGAGTCATCAGTTATGAGGATGCGAAGCCCGAGAGAATTGACGGAAGCAAGTTTGCAGGGGATGCTTAAAGACGTAGTATCGTTGCGTAATTTACCACAACGGAGGTCGACCACAAGACCGAACTTGCTGAGAATGTCGATACCGATGATGGGCTTTTGCACATCGGCGAAGGTAAAAATGAAAGGGAAGTTACGCCGTAGTCCGAGACTCAAAGTAAGTAATTTCTGGCCGTAGGTTGCGATTTTAGTCCGATTAGCTGCCGGAAACATTGGACCAGCTTGTTGCAGGGGGCGTTTTTCCGGAAAACGGGGGAGAACGCTGACTTCTGCACCAGTGTCAACCAAGAAGTGAAGTTTGGTTGTGGAGTTAAATACGTACAACAGGCGACTAATAACCTGGCCAGCGACGGCCGCCGTCATTACTGGCTGGCCATGTGGTTTCCCGACGTAGGAGTTGAAAAGGCTTTGGGGTGTTTACGGCAGTTACGCGCTGCGCCTCCGAAGCGGTGGTGATAATAACGATAGCGGCGAGACTGTCACGTACGACACTTGCTAGAACGTGTGGATCGAGAAACGGATCGTCAAGAGGGAACTCGGTCGCGTCTGAGGTTGAACAAAGTGAGCTCTAGGTTAGAAAGTCTCTCGTTGATTGTGTCAAGTAGCGTGGTTCCGGAGAGGTTGCCTGAACTAGTCTCAGTGACTTGTGATACCGACGTTTTAATGAAGTGTTCAAGAAATTTATCAGCAGCTTCTGCAAGTTTGTCTAGAGGAAGATCGTCGGCGAGAACAGCAAAATAGCCGTGGTGTTCGCGAGCGGACAATTGCTCCACAATTGGTGGAGAACGGAATCATCCAGTATTGAAGAACCGACGAGGGAACGCATGTGCCGGAGTAACTGAGACGGTGTTCTATCTCCAAGCTCAACGCCAGAGAGCAACTGCTGAAGGCGTTTCTCATCTGAGGCTGTAGTGCGCTTTAATATGGCTGCCTTAAGTTAATCATAGGGGGACTCTAGGGGCATAGGATCAAGGATGTCGATGACCTCTGAGGCGATGCTGGACGGCAGGTGAACAGTCACATATGAAAACATTGTGGACTGGGATGTAAACTTATGAAAACGGAAAACAGCTTCTACCTGAACGAACCAAACACGTGGGTTAGAAACGTCAAAAGAAGGTAAAACGAGTCCAAGGGAATGTTCCGGCGCATTAACAGCGGGCGCGTGATCAGACGTTATGAAGAAAGAAAGGAAAAATATACACAAAAATTATATAAAAATGTGGGGTAACCAATTATATGGAAGCACCGGCAAGGAAAACAGTCAGTTAGATTTACCTCACATATAAAATATCCTGATGCGCCTAAGCGTCAGACGACCGTAATTCGCAAGGTATGCCGAAGTGTACGTTTACGTAGAGTCCAATGGTGAATAGAGTATGCAGCGACGCGTACAATCACAGCAATCCAGCGGCAACCAAGGTAGAACCACGGAAAACGAGCTCGAAACCGTGTGTGTATATGAAGTTAATTAAAACAAAGCTGTACAACAACTACAGCGAAATAGGTAAATGTGAAAATGAAAAATAAGCAAATTATTTACAATCGTCACAGGGCTTAGACGATGGTTAGTCCATCCTTTATCCAGAGAGTTGAAGTTGTACTGGAATATGTAGTGCATTTTGATGCTGGCATATGAAAGTGCAAAGATTGCTCTTGTTCTTGCTTCATTCCATTGCAGAAGCAAGAAGAGATAATCCAACGTCGAAGTGCCGGGGGCCGCTTCACTTACCGGCGCAAGAACTGGATGCTCGTTAGGCGGAAGCCTCTATCGTCCGTTTGACCTGACCTGACCTGATTTATATTCAGATGTACCAGGCAACCTAGGTACTTTCTCTTTTATCCACACCCCGTGGGACGGTCGGACTATGTGGTTATATACTTTTTCATGTTTTGTTTGCTATATACTATCATGACGATTGAACTCACAACTAACGTGAATCGGTGGCATTTTACATTTTTAGCACTCTTCAGAAGTATTCTTCCCGTTATATAAATAAGTGATTAGGCCACAGGTCACGGCGTGCTTGTCGTGTTTCACCGTTCGAGGTTTTCTTTACTGAAATCCTTTTTTGAGGACAGCAGTTAAATAACACTACATAGAAAATTTGGCTTTGTCAGTTTTCTTGTGATCCGAAAGTACTTGAAGTTCCAACGTACTCGGAATTACTTGTGTGCCTTCCTTTGTCACGGCGTGGTTGTCGTGTTTCACCGCTTGAGTTTTCCTTCTCGGAAGCCTTTTGTGGAAACAGTGTTGAATAACACTGACCAAAAAGCTTGACCTTGTGTTTCTTGTGGTTCAAACGGGCTTGAAAAAGCTTCGTTCCTTCAATCTCGCCCAGCTCCAACGGCGAACTTGCCTGCTAGTAAACTTGGTCTTTGTTCCGTTGTTGTCAGCGAGTCACTGTGTCATTACCCGTCTTTTGACCACTGTACGCTATCCAGCTACCTCGCCTCTTGTGCGATCTTTTCCATTCGTCAAAGGCGGATTTACTTGATTCAATTCTTGGTCGCACTGATCAGTGTATCTTCAGTTATCCGTGTGTCAGCCTCTGCTCCCTCGCAAAGGTCCTGTTGTTATATCCCTGGAGTCCACTTCGGCTTTGTGACTTGGTGAGTTCATTCCAATACACTCGTGTCACACTTGGTCGTTTCGATTGGTGCTCTCGTCGCTTGCATAAGTTGTCACCGTAATCCGGTTCACATCTTTGCTTCTTATCTATTACATTCAATTCTTTCTCTGAACCCTCTCCGTCACGATGGTTGTCAAGCGCTGCTTAAACTCGCCGTGTCCGCCTTCTGACGACTCTGTGGTCATGTGTGGTAAAGTGGGTTGTCTAGAAGCGGTTACAGATTCGTCCGGGGGCATGCAGTGCGATATCTGTAACCGTTGGTTCCATAAGGCCTGTACTGGCTTGGATCGTAGACAGTACGCTCTTCTGTCCAGTAGCGAGAGTTTACTCTACCGTTGTAATGACTGTTGTAGGCCCAGGACTGAGCGTTACACGCCAGTAAAGAGCAGTCCTGTTTCTTTGGAAAGTTTGTTGTCTCTGATTGTCTCGTTAGACAGGAAAGTTGAAAGGATTGTGCAGGGCCTAGAACGCTCAGGTCTTCTCTGTCAGGAGACAGTAGAAGACACTGGCAAGTTGTCTGATCCTGCATCTGATTGTTTACTGTCGAATGTCAGTTTACCTGTTAGCAAAGACCTTGTTAGTAACGAGCCCTCAGACAGCGTGTTTGATTCGGCTGTTAGCGAAGGAGAGCAGCAGGTTTCTGCCCTTGTCAAAAGAAGGCGAAAGAGGGTTAAAAAAGCGGCAAAACCAAAGGCGGACATGAGAGGTCCGTCGGGCGCCCATTCCCCCCCCTCAAATTCTACTACTACGGAATCGTTGCAACTGGAAACATCTACGACATTAGAGTCTATAAAAACGGACACTAAACTGAAACCACCGACGTCCATGGAGCGTTCGGTAAATACTCCGCGTCGCGGAGACTCGTATACCGACTGCAGTGTTATTTTCAGAAACGCCACTGAGTCTTCTGCTGTTCTCCCAAAAGACCGTATGCTAGATGACCTTAAGTGGTTTAGAGTATGCATTACCAAACTCCTGCCTCCCGGCTTCCCCGGTGTGACTGTGCGCAAACTAACCAGACTCGGTAACTTGCCAGCCGACAAGTCTCGCCCTCGCTTGTTGCGAGTTGTTCTGTCCACTCCGGAGGAGCGCCAAGCACTTCTGCGTTTCGCCTTTAAGCTCAAGGGCACTGGTGTCATTGTGCACCCAGACCTCCCTTTGGCGGATAGGCTGAAATTGCGGGAAGCTGTGAAGGATCTTAAAGCCCGCCGTGAAGCAGGAGAAAAGGGTCTCCGCTTGGTGGGTTTTCGGGTGGTGAGCCGGCGGTCCACTTCCGCCCTACCAGAGCCGGTTCTGGTGGCGCACGATCCCGGACTCACAATGTTAAATCCCTTCAGGTGATCTTAAGCAATGTGCGTAGCCTGCGAAACAAGCTGTGCGAAGTCGGCGCTCTTGTCGACGACTGCCGTCCAGATGTCCTCGCATTCACTGAAACGTGGTTGTCCACCGACGTCACGGACAGTGAAGTGTGCTTGCCAGGCTACGCACTGCTGAGATGTGACCGCACCTCTGATCGGCGCGGAGGTGGTGTTGTTTTGTACGTTAACTCCGCACTTACTGTCTGTAAGACGTATAGTTTCAGATCATCAGAGGGTGATGTTGAGGCACTCGCAGTTAACCTGTGTATTGCCTCCGCGCAACTTAAAATTGTGCTGGTCTATAGAAGCCCCGACAGCGTTGCTAAGGGGCTTGCTGATTTCATCCGCGAGCATTCGGCAAATAGGTGTTTAGTGATGGGGACTTCAATCTTCCCGACGTTGACTGGCAGAATTTTTCCTGCGACGCTGTTACAAGGTGTTTGGCTACCGAGCTTCTCGAGCTGGCCTTGCATGCTTCCCTGCACCAATTTGTCGATCGGCCTACTAGATTCATGATGGGTCAAAACCCGTCCCTCTTGGACTTGATCTTCGCTAAATCCATTGATTTTGTCACGGATATTGTATACAACTCACCTTTCGGTGCTAGCGACCACGCATGTCTCTCATTTAAGTGCGCCCTTAGTCGTCAGACTAATGATCATCCCGACCGAGTACCAAATATATGGCGCGCGGACTTTCAGACAATGAAAGCCAAAGCCGCAAAGTCGCCTTGTGTCATTTTGGAAAGTGACGACATTCAAACGGCCTGGGACAGCTTTAAATCATACTTGAGTGAGCTCTCTCTCCCCCATATACCACTATCTGGCAGGAATAAAACTAGGGCAAAGCCACCCTGGTTTGATTCTGCTGTACGCAAACAACTTAACAGACGTGCCAGATGTTGGCGTACTTACTTATCTGCTCCTTCATTATGCACTTCAAGCGATATCGTGAGGTTCGAAATGCCTGCAGGCAGTATCTACGTGGTGCTCGTCTACAGCATGAAGTAGAGCTTGCTCGTATAGCCTCATCAAACCCGAAACGCTTCTTCGCTTATGTCAAAAGGCGAAGCAACATGAATTCGTGCATCCCAGTGTTGTTTGGCCCGGACGGCACTGCTGTTGTCACGGATCACGAAAAGCTTGTTTGCTCGGAGAACAGTATGCTGGGGTTTATGTTCGAGAGTCACAGCCGCCGCATATCAGTCTCCAGGCAAAAGTTCCTGAAGGCTCCCACTTGGAGGAGGTTTCTATAACCGAGGCTCAAGTGCTCCGGCTTCTGAGGCAATTAAATCCCAATAAAGCTGCCGGTGGAGATGCTATTCATCCCAAACTGTTGTACGAGTTGGCTGATGAACTTTGCTGTCCGATTACGCAACTTTTGTGAAGTCTCTACGAGGCTGCTCTCTACCCAAGGACTGGAAGGAGGCTATTGTTTGTCCCATTTTAAGAAAGGTGATAAGCACCTCCCTGATAACTATAGACCGGTCAGTTTAACGAGCGTGCTGGTCAAGTTATTGGAAAAGCTCGTGAGGGACGCTCTCGAAGGACACTTGAAAGCGTTTGAGTTGCTTAATCCTTCTCAGCACGGTTTTCGTAAGGGCTATTCTTGCCTTACTAACTTGTTAACGGCTCGTGAACACTGGGCCGAAGCCGTTGATTGCGGGAAGGTAGTGGACGTGCTGTTTATTGACTTTTCCAAAGCTTTTGACACCGTTCCACATTCGCGCCTTTTGTACAAGCTGAATTCCTACGGTATTTCTGGACCAGTCTTAAGATGGATTTAAGGTTTACTAATGGGAAGGGAAACGTGTGTACTGGTGGTTTGAAGCATGTCCTTCCGCCAATGTGTTCTCAGTGGCGTGCCGCAAGGTTCGGTTCTTGGCCCCCCTCTCTTCACTTTATACGTTAATGACCTACCTGATGAATTGGGTGTGCCATCCCTAATGTTTGCGGATGACTTGAAACTCTGGTTCACGATAGACGAGCCGATTGGTCCACTGACCCTACAGGAGGCTCTGGATAGACTTTGGGACTGGTCAATTTTGTGGCAGTTGCCCGTTAATTTAGGGAAATGTTCCGTTTTACGCGTTGGTCCGAATGACCCGCCGACGCGTTATTTGCTTGGCGGCAACGAGGTACCGCGAGTTCAACTCTAATCTGACCTCGGTGTTTTGCTGTCATCTGAATTCAAGTCCAGTGAACACTGGAAGACAGCTGCTCGTAAAGGCTTCAACATGTTGTGGATGATCCGCAGGTCATTCGGGATCATGACCACCGACATGTTCGTTAGACTATTTTCGGCTTTTGTAAGGCCGCACTTGGAATACTGCGTTTAGGCTTGTCCTCCATGCCTGGTTCGTGTATAAGCATGAGCAGTCTGATCGAGTTCAGCGGTCCGACAATTTGGGGAGGATACTTATAGAAGATGGTGAATAGAGCAGGCAGCGACACGCACGACCACTGCAATCCAGCGGCAACCAAGTTAGAATCACGGAAAACCAGCTGGAAACCAAGTGTGTGTATATGTAGTTAATTAAAACAAGGCTGTACAACAATTGCAGCGAAATAGGTAAAGGTAAACATGAAAAATAAGCAAATTATTTACAATCGCTACAGGGCTTAGACGATTGTTCGTCCATCCTTTTTCCAGAGATATTGTAGTTGTACTGGAATATGTAGTGTATTTTGATGCTGGCATATGAAAGTGCAAAGATTGCTCTTGTTCTTGCTTCATTCCATTGCAGAAGCAAGAAGAGACAATCCAACGTCGAAGTGTCGAGGGCCGCTTCACTTACCGGCACAAGAACTGGATGCTCGTTAGGCGGAAGCCTCTCTCGTCCGTTTGACTTGACCTGACCTGATTTACATTCAGATGTACCAGACAACCTTGGTAATTTCCCTTTTATCGACACCCCGTGGGACGGTCGGACTATACAGTCATATACTTTTTTCATGTTTTGTTTGCTGTATACTATCATGACGATTGGACTCACAGCTAACGTGGATCGGTGGTATTTTACATTTTTAGCTCTCTTCAGAAGTATTCTTTCCGTTATATAGATAAGTGATTAGGCCACGTGGAATATCGTGTTCAGGCCTGGGCTCCGTAGTGACGCCACGTGTATAGAAAACATACAGAAACTTGCGACCAGGATGATCGAAGATCAAATAGAGAAGTCGTACGAAGATTGTCTAAGTAGCTTGGGATAACTTTTCATGGAACGGTGTAGCTTGAGAGGGAATTTGATTGACTTTTGAGGTCATTTAAATAATGGTATTAGGCTACAGGGCCTACTGCGGAAAGTCGACAGCCTAGCTAAACGACGACAGCAACTTCTCAAACGTCCTGAATCACGTATCGTTTCACCGTTACCAACTGCTAATCTGTCCAACACTTGCCGACGCCCAACGCTTCCGTCGGGGACCCTCCTAGCAAGTAAGCTTGCTGCCGCTCCACATCGCGTTCGTCTAAGCGAATAACGGGTCGCTCTACTCCTAATTCTGTCATATGTACACACGTGCCCGAGTCTAACGACCTGCAAATTCAGAATCGACATTCTCATGATTCCAGTATGTGGAGCTCAATCTGTATCGCGTTAATCCTCCCTGAAACAAAACCCATTAGTCTCTCCAGACTGACTCGCTACCCTTCATCTCCGAGCGCCGGTAAACCGTGACTTGCAGTCTGGCCAGGCTATGAAGGATGTCCTATTGTCAGCACACCTACTCCGAAACAACGCGTCTCTCGACATTTACTATATTCGTATCTTCCCCGACATCCCTTAGACTAAGCGCGCTGCGCGCAGGCAGCAACTAACGCCACCCACTCAACCATGCCCCATCATAGTGCATGACGTTCAAGAACCGCATGCCTTTGACACAACTTTACAACATCGACAACAGCATAACTGTAATCAATAGCAGTCTCTTCAGCAGACACTAAATATTGTCAACCTAATCACAACAGACGGTCACCGCCTACCTCATTTAGTAAGTTACACAGGAACAGCCTCTTTTATCTCCTGAAAGTGATATTCTTCACCGCTAGCATGGTAACCTATGCACTCATCATCTGGTGTGCTAATAAAAAACGAGCACCACCAGATATCGATCTTCGTCTTGATGGGCACCCGGTGCCGAGGCGCACCGCTTCCCACAGACCCCTAGCAGCAGCAGCAGCCAACTCGCTACCGACACACTCTGACCAAACCGTCCTCAGACGGTCCATCACCGAACCATCTGCCTCACTGCCTGGAGTAATCCTCACCTACGCAATCCAACCTTCAGTCTTTCAACGACCCTGCAGCCAGCATCCATCTGTTCTCCGACGACCCACACCTTGCTTCCCCAACTACCAACCTTAGCGGCTCCACCCCTCTAAACAAGAAGAAACGGTGCATTGCCGGTCATCTGTTGACCGGCAGCACCCTAGTTACTCCCGCGCTCATCACAGACGAGCCTCGCCTGTATCTACACGAACGCACAGGGCCTCGTGTGTAAACTTCCGGAGCTCCATTCCCGAGTTCTGTCACTGCCAGCGGACCTAATAGCCATAACGGAAACGTGACTCTCCGACGACATAACCGACGGTGAAATCCAACTTCACATGTCAGTTCTCCGCTCTGACCGCGCAACCCCGGGTGACGGTGTCGCACTGTACTATGACATCTCCCTCAGTTGCAGCATGTTAACAAAAACTGGCCTGCAGTCTCCAGGCACCATGTGATGCGAGGTCGTACTAACCGCCAAACACTCCAACTGTTTTGGTATCATTCACCAGCCCCCTAACAACTCTCCTGAGAAGGACGCACGACGTATACCTTATGTTATCCCACAAGCTCACACACTTATCATGTTAGACTTCAACCTGCCCCGTCTATTTCACTCTGTTCCGTCTCCTGACTCCTTTGCATCAGTCCTTATTGATCTTCACACGGTCCCGTTGTACAACCACCCGTATCAGCCGACTAGATTCCGATCCAACAACCAACCATCTCTGATAGATCTCATCCTCACTAACGAAGAACTGATGGTTGAGCACGTTGAGTATAATGCCCCTTTTGGACTTAACAACCACTGCGTCCTCTGTTTCGATTTTATATGCTTCGCCGAAAAGCCCGTCATCACGCCAACTTATACCAAACGCTGGACTGATTACGGAAAGTTGAACCTTCTCATTTCCGCTAACAGTTGGTCACCCGAGCCCCAATCGAGCGCCGACAGCGTGTGGGCAGCCTTTTGCCTTACCCTACGGGAACTTTGCTCCACTACGATGACCTGAAAATGCGTTTCCATAGGGAAGATACGCTTAGCACTCATCGGAAGTCGTACATGGAAGTGGATTGCC